GACCGCACGACGTCGCCCCATGGATCTGCCGGGCTCGATCACCAGCGTAAGGCCCAGCTCCTTGACGATGTCACGAACCGTGTCGATGAGGTCGGTGGGGGTGGGGAGCACCTGCCCCTGGTGGCTGTAGTCGATACCCAGGCCCCCCCCGATGTTGAGGTACTGCAGGTTGAAGCCCTCGGACCGAATCATCTTGACGAACTCGCACATGATCACCGCGGCGTCGCGGAAGATATTGACCTGGGTGGTAGGGCGGTTAGTTGGGTAGGTAGTTGGGCGGTTGGGTGCTTGGTTGGTAGCTGGAAAACTCGCCTTCCCTCCCCCTCTTCCTCCCCCTCTCCCTGGGCATCAGCCCCAACCCCACCCCCCAACCCCAGCTGTGGTGTTTTCACCTCACCTCCTCGCAAACTTCACCCCTACCCCCCAGCCGCACGAGAACCAACCACATCGAGTCCAATGTTATGTTTCCCGCCCCGCCCCACTCGGTCCTGTTCTGCGCTGCCCACACCCTTACCGCGCGCGCTGATAGTCTGATAGACATACATACTGCGGACTTCTCTCTCAACTGGTTGCTTACCTTGGTAATGGTGGACCCCAGGTGGCTGTGCACCCCCACCAGCTCCAGGAGGGGCTCGGCGCGGATGGCTTCCAGGAACCACTGCGGCGGCACAAACAGGGGGGGAATGCAGGAGGGGCGAGGAGGGGGTAAGAGGAGGGGGGTGAAGAGGGTACGAGGAGGGGGAGAGGAGGGGATGAGGGCCGGGATGAGAGAGAGCGGAAAAGACAAGGGAAGAGGAGGGCGGGAGGGAAGACGAACCATGAACAAGTGAAGCTGATGCCAAGGATAGGCCGAGGGAGAGGAACCGCTACATCCCCACAGCCTCCCCAACCTCGTCCAGTTGCTCACCCCAATATGGCTGTTGCGGATTCCAAATTTGGATCCAGCCAGGCCGGTAGACACATACGGGTGCACCTGTCGAACAAGATCACAGGGGGGAGGGGGGTAAAGAGGATTAGGGGCGGTGGAAGGCGGTGGAAGGGGGCCGGGATGAGAAGCCCGAATGGAGAGGAAGACCTACAGACCTACAGACAAGCATACAGATAAAGACGTAGCTAAGAGACATTCCACTTTGGATTGCAGTTGCAGAATCCTGTCTGTTCGTGCGGCACATATCCGTACATACACACACACTCACAGAGTCACACTCCGGACATCCAACCATCTATCTGAGTTCCATCCATCCATCCATCCATCCATCCATCCATCCATCCATCCATTCATACATACATACAAACACACACCTGCGGATCGACGTCCGGGTTGATGCGCAACAGCACCTTGACCTTCTTGCCCGTCTTGCGAGCGGCGGCTGCAATGTTCTGTGCGTGGTAGCGGGTGGGGGTTGTAGTGGGATGGGGGGTGTAGTGGGGTGGGGGGTGTAGTGGGATGGGGTGTAGTGAGCGGCTAGACACAAGTGTGTATGGAGGGGAAGTGGTGGGCGGATGGCTGGGAAGGAAGGTGCAGAGGAAAAGAAGGTGGACATCTCCCCTAAGGGACAGCGCAGGATGCGGGGATAGGAGTTAGTAGTGCGACTTAGTAGTATAGTAATGCACGAGTACACGGGAAGGTCAAGTAGCTCGTGGACTTGATGATGATGATGATGCTGGGAACTATCAATCTGAAACCACGGCAGAGACCGCACGGAGCCGTGAGACTGGGAGCGGGAGCCACATGCTCCCGTTCCAAAGCACTATCCGACTTGCAAACCTCCCCACCCGCTGCATAACAAGCAAAGCTCCGCCTCACAGCAGCAAGCCCCCCTCCCCTACCCCCCGAGCCAACCCCAAAGATCCGTCTTCATGCTAGCGCCGACTTCTGACTGTCCGTGGTGGTCTGCCGTAGCGGTACGCAGCCGACTCATTCTAGTGCTGCAGTACAGCTTTGTACGGAAAGGTTTTTAGGTGGTCACTGCGGGGGTCCTGTGCCCCACAATTTCCTGGCGACCACCTTCTGGAAGGGAATTGTTTTCTCAGTAACCACTTTTAAAAACACTGGTAGAGTGTCTTGATGCATCACATTATATTAAAATTTCAACTATAAGGTAGCTACATATATATACATATGTATATGTATATACAAATACATACGAACGTATATATGTTGTGTGTGCCCATTAGGCAGCCCCATGCCCTATTCCCCCCAAACACACATAGATTTCCAAGCCCCAGGCCCCCCATGGCACAACTCCGTGCGGCTTTCCTGGCCTGTACGGCTGTCGTACCTGCAGGTCAAACTCGGAATCGATGTTGATCAGCACGCCCTTCTCCGCAGCGAGCTCCAGCTCCCAGGGTAGCTTGCCGTTGCCGTTGAAAATGGTGCTGTTGATTATTGGGTACGTGTATGGGGGGTGGGGCCGGGGGTGCATTCAGAGGAGTGGGAAGGGAAGGCGAAGAAGATATGTGCGGTTTGAAAGATTTTGAAAGATGGAGGCTCGAAGATCACGCTCAGGACCCAGATCCGGAAACCCCTTGCTCGCAATGGCGCCTCGTAATCACGTCCGGGCATCCGGGGGAGAGGGAGGAGGGAGACACAATCCTTCGATGGGCAACAATATACCCGCAGCAAACGCACACACATACACACACCCCATCATATCACCATCATGTCTACCACATACCACGACCCATCCGTCCAAAATCTGCCCTGCATCCCGTGCCGCCCCGTCTATTATTTTCTTACCGGCTGGGATCGAATCCCGCTGCCATCGCCATTTTGAGCTCGTTTCCGCTGACCAGCACTGCACCCGCACCAGCTGCCGCGAGCTCCTTCATGATGATGAGGTTGTTGTTGGCCTTAACCGCGTAGCAAGGCAGCGAGCTGAGGCCTTCCAGGGCCTTCTTGTAGGCCTGGTAGTTGTGCATGATACGGTTCTTCGAGTAGAGGTAGAAGGGGCTCTCGGGCACCTGGAGGGAGAGCAGGCCGGAAGGAGGGTAGAAGGTTCGGTCCGCGTTGGAAGTTGTAAATAATGCGGTTGGCTGAAGGAAAAGGTAGTAGGCTTTGCGCGGCGATGCGCCCGTGGCTGGTAATTACGATATGTGAGGAGGGCGATGGGGCTATGCAGGGTACCGTATGGTGATGCGAGTCGTGGCGCTATTGGCGTCGGTTGGCAATGGAACCATAATCGCAGATGGAAACCGTGTGTGGCTAATTGGTGGGCGTAGACGTGGTTCGTACCTACGCCACAAAGGGCGCAACCAGGTGATCTTTGAACGTAAAATTGTGCGCCTGGTCGAGGATTGGTTGTCTGGGTTGCGCACCGACACCTACCTGACGACGGATGTCCTCCACCCGCAGCTGGTCTACATACATGTAGCCATCCTCAGCGCCAGTGTACCAGCCCAGGCCTTTTCCTGGAAGTGGATCGAAGCAGCACGCTCAAATTCAATAGCCGGGGATTCCGCCCAAGCATGGAGGACGAGCATCTACTAACGTTTCATCGAAGTAAGCATTCTTTGCTCTTTTAGACACATCTCTTCGAGCCTTACCAGCTGGCTGGGTGAATTCCCATGCAGTGCCAACGGGCTTCTCCTCGACCACAGCAGCGTCGCGAACCACACACGCCTTGCGAACCTGCGATTCAATTTGCCATCCCCATGTCAAATTGTCCTACAATATTCTGCCCATCAGGTCGACCGATCATGCCACAGCAACGATAAGCGACTCGCACAGCGACGAGGTCCGCGCCGACACGCCAGGGTAGGCATATACGTAAAACTGGAACAGGCAAATCTGTAGGGGATACTTCCAGGCAGAAAAACGCAGCCTACACTTACCCGCTGCGAAGCAATCGCAGCGCGGCTAGTGCGCCCCGCCACGGAGCGACCGCTGATAGTCTGCATGGTCTCAGTAAATAAATGAAGACAAGCTGAACTACCGCAAATTCATAATTGGTTATATTTGCGATACAACTTAACACACGTTCCCCTTGCTCCGGGACCAGAAACATCGCCATGGTCGTACCGCGTCCTATGAGAAAGCATTTTTAGTCTTGTAAGCAATTTTCCTTGTAAGCATTATTATGTTTGCTGTACAAGCGTTGCTTCCTCTATTTTAAGAAGTCCTGATGTGCAGCTGCTACACTAGATGAAATGTGCGTATTGCCAGCGACGATCGCGGGTTCGATCTTGTACGATACGGAGGGCCCTGAAGTGCAATACCACCGTGGTTCCTCAAGGAGCACAGGATCTGGTGCATACATGCAAGGATGGACGGGACGGTTGACTGACTTCTACTGTCAGCCCCATACAACGCCAAAACGGCGCCCTCCGCTCTGGTAACCGCGTATATCCTTAAGAATTTGGTCAGGAAACCGGCACTTGAAAATCCACCTGACATAGTCGCAACACTGCTGCCGCACGCATGGTATCATTGCATCCTGATACCGACGACGACTGGTGACGTTCTGGTAACCCTCCTAACAATAACCTCCTCCTCCCATCCTCGGCAATTATCCGTAAGTTGCCTCACGCCTCCGCAGAAGTACGAGGAGGAGGTAACGCAGTCAAGTAATGCAACCAAAGGACGAATTAAATAAAAAAGGAGTCCCCATCTAGGGTACCTCGCAATGCCCAGATCACATCAGCTCAGCTCACCGATAGTTCACCACGGCAGGTGGTATGGCCTGCATGGGCTCATTGCCGCAATTTTTCTTATTTGCCGAGGGTAATTTCCTCCACTAGTTTCACTCCCTGCCTCCTGTTCTAATTTTTTCACACTTACCATGTGAACACCAATTCGTAAATGTGAAAGCGGAGCATAGGATTAATCGCAACCGAATAATGTCTGGGTTTTAGGGGTTTCGGGTTTTTAAGTATAACTCACCCAGCAACGAACAACCGAACAACCAAGTAACAAAGTCAACCACCAAACTACAACAGCCTAAATATACAATCGGCGAAGTTGTTGAAACCTCCTGCCATCATCTATCCCTAGCAATCCAGACCAATTCGGCACACATTGTAGACAGGCAGTGCTGTACAGGTACACATTTGAAGACAAGCAGTGCCGTACAGGGTTCATCAACACCATCATCATCAGCAGCAGCAGGTCGTCTACTGTTGCTGTGGCGATGAGTGAAGAGCCCACCGGACCCGCGACCCCGAGGCCCTGATAGACACAGTTAGGATAGCAGAACATAAATAGCTGCGGAAAACTGAGGCCAAATAGCTATATCGGGCTATACGGCGCCAGTCAACGCCGCCGATGCCGCCAAGCGGTTGATGTCAGCGTTGTCGAAGATGTGTTTGCCGGCAGCGCCGGCAGCGGACGCGGCGGCGGCACCCCCCTTCGCGATCTGCAACAAAGCTCGCCCTAGCGCCTCCGTGTTGGTTATTGGCAGCCTTAGGCAGCGCAGCAGCGGCGCCGCCGCATACGCAGCCCTGTACGGCAATGAGCGCTGCCCTTGTATGCCGTGCATCGGCTCGATCAGACCCGGACGGAACATGAAGGCGCCGGCGGGAGAGCGAGCCATGAGCTGGGGACGTGTTGTACGAGGTTTAAGATGTTGTACGGAGTAGGTGTGGTACGTGGGACGAGGGCGCAGTGGTCAAGGGCGGCAGGCGACGAGAGCAGTGAAGGTGGGAGCGAGAGGGGGGGAGGAATGAGGCAGGCTGTGTTTGAAAGGGGGACGGATGGGAGAGGAGAGCTTGCAGGTTGGGAGGGGAGAAACAGGGGAGGGAAGCTGTCGGGGCCATAGGACCATAGGACTGCTGTTGGACCGCGGCCGCGGCTTGATATTTTGCGAAAGCATCGACCATGTAGCAATTGCGTGGTGGGCACGAATTGCATACAAACATATTTTCCTCAATACATCAAACATATTTCATTCATATTGGAACTTGAATGTCCCTAGTCCCCTGTTGAGGCCCACTCTCTTCAATCGCATCTTGTTGATGGATGTACCCCCGACCAACCCTTGGAGGAACCTGTTCGATATCGTACGGTAGAGTGTCGATTGCCGTACCTCGTTTTCCGTTTCTCCTTTGACACGCGCCCACATTGTCCGCGAGCGTGCGTCCGTGCGGTCCCCGGAGACAAACAGGAAGCGCATGGCAGGGTTGGCGGACAAGAGCGAGTCCGCGACTTTTAGCGTCATCTCCTTAGTGATGACGGTGTATTCTTTTTCGCTCATGCCCATTGCTGAGGTCCCAAGACAGTAGAGACAGGCATCGATGCCCGTGATCTGGCCGCCCAGAGAGCTGAGGTCGGATGGGTCCTTGAGGATAACTTCGCTGAGCTTTGGGTCTTCTTTTCCGCTAGGTCGCCTTCCGATAGACAATATACTTGTGATGTTTCCATCGAGCAACGCCTCGCGAAGTACTCCTTGACCAACCATGCCGGTGGCACCGAAAAGGACTACTCGAGTCATTGCTTCGGGAAATGTAAGATATCTCTGTATACAGTAACGTGACTTTAGCCAAGATTTGAGCTTTCGACGTGCAATACGCAGATACGCGACAATACAGGGAAAACTCCTACAATGTAAGCAAACGAGTCCGGCCTAACGGAAACAAAATTGAAAGTTTGATTGCGGGATTTGGTAACGCGGGCACATTATTCAAGTGAGGCATGTGTAAGCAGCTCAACTGCAGAACCAATGGTCAACACGGAGCTCGTACCGGTAGTTGTGGCCGTTTTATTTTCTGATTAGATTTGGCTCCAGTTTCTCAATTTCATGGTTATGTAAATCATACTATATAACATGCGCATGCCCATAAACTTTTATGTTTGAAGCATCCACAATCAATACGGACCGTGAAGGCGCAATCATCCTTTCCCTTCACATCCCACCCTCCATACACCCCTCCATACACCCTTCCATACACCCCTCCATACACCCCTCCATACACCCCTCCATACACCCCTCCATACACCCCTCCATACACCCTTCCATACACCCCTCCATACACCCCTCCATACACCCCTCCATACACCCCTCCATACACCCCTCCATACACCCCTCCATACACCCCTCCATACACCCCTCCATACACCCCTCCCTTCATACATACATCCCTCCACCCTATGGCATAAAGGGTCGGTAACCGACCGGTTAGCTATAACCCAACCAGGTCGCTTCGGTAGGGTAACCGACATTTCGAGATAACGACCCGGTAACCTTACCGGTAACCTTATCGGTCGGTGACCCCCAGCTACTGGGTTGTTAGCTCGTTATGTCGGTTAACCCCGTGAACCTAACCCAAGCGACCAGTTACCTTACCGGGCATTTGTCGCTGACCTGGGCGTTACTGAGTGTTGGACAAGCAAGGTACTAGCCTCTCTGATTAGCCTAGGAGCGGGAATCCCCCACTAATACGCGCGGTGATGATCTTTTAGCGTATTATGCCACCCTTAAATTGCCAGTTGAGAGCATCCTTAAGGTATTTGCCAAGCGGCTTGATGCACGGTGGGAGTGCCCGAATACCTTGGGTGACCCCAGCGTTTTCCCCATCGGGATTACCGGAGCCAAGGCTTGTCGCTATATGAGCTGATGGGAGCTGCCCCGCCTAGGGGTGCGCGTCTCGATTGGCTGGATCACACTAAAGGGACCATGCCCCAGCGACTACACCACGTGCTCATGCGTTTTCGGTTAGGCTGTTGGGAGTTAGAGGTTAATAGGCGTAACGGGCGTGAGCGCACCGCGCGTACCTGCAGGAGGCTTTGTGACTGTGGAGCGGTTGAAGATGAGTTGCATGTTTTCGATGAATGTCCCGCTTACAAGAGCATACGGGCTAAGTATGTGATGGTGATTTAGGTTTTAAGGGGCGCAGCATGCGCGCCATTATGACTGAGGCGCCACCCCTGGCATTGGCCAGTTACCTCTCGGAAATTTGGGAGGCCAGGCACGTCGCGCTGAGGCGCTTCGCCCTAAAGCGAACGAGGGAGGACGATGATGAGGGCCTCCCGCGCACCCGCATCGATACCAATACAACGTCCATGGCACCCCCGGCGTTTACGGACACACCCGCACTTGTGTGCGGAACTTGTAACTTGTTACCGACCGTCAGGCCACAAGTAAGGATAATCCGAATCATATCCATCAAGGCACTCGGCGACCTGCCTGCGCCGTCCTGCCGGGAAGGGGGACAGAGAGAAAAAGGAAAATGGTGGCAAAATGGCCGAATGCGCCACCTGCGGGCACAACACCGCCGACAAACAGATAGGTACTTAAGGGGGTTCTGACGCAGCGCAGCGATTTCTCAGCCCCCGCGCCCCCCTCATACAGAGACCGGGGACTGGTAGACCGAGCCCCCAAGGCCCCCACATGCGCCTCCTGCTTTTCCTCCTCCTCGTCTCATTCTCAAACTCTTTAACACACTAAATTGTGTTTTTTGCCCGTTCCCTCCCCGTCTTCCCCCGCACCCGGTTCAGTAGCTTTATATTCAACTGGACTCCGCTCTCATTGTACGACCCACGTGGACATCTGCCGTACCGTGGGCCGGTCCGTCCGGCTGCCTCTCCCCGAATCCATCTACCGCCACTTCTGGCACTTCTTTACCATCTGTGCGCCTGCATCTGTCTGTCTTTATATATATGTGTGTCTGTCTATGTATGTCTGTGTCTGTCTGTGTGTCTGTCTATGTGTCTGTCTGTCTGTCTGTCTGTCCGTCTGTGTGTGTCTGTCTATGTGTCTGTCTGTGTCTCTATAACCCCACCACAGGAGCGAATACACATACATACATACATACATACATACATACATACATACATACATACATACATACATACAGACGTACATACATACAGACGTACATACATAAACACTCCTCGCGACTCCCACCGTCCAACGCAACGTCACCAGTAAAGACAAGGTCCCGACAAACAGCCGCCATCAGTCAACCTAGTAACTGTCGTACGGTACGGCATACACACACATACATACACGTGACGGCTCAGATAATTAAAACACATAACACATCGTCAATAAATAAATACGCGCTCTAAAGCGCCCTACGCCTCCGGCCTTTTCAGCGGCTAGACAGCTAAATCAGTGCTCGGAAAGTACTATAGCTATATGGAGGCATGATCAAAAAGAGGCCATCCATCCATCCACCGATCAACAAGGAAACCAAGGGCCGTCAGCCTCAGGAGGTGTCAATGCCCCATGCTGCTGCCTTGGTGGCCGCTGTTGGCATGATGCCCTCCCCCTCCCCCTCCATGCCCCGGGGGAGATTTGGGTCTCAGCGCCTCGATCTCCTCCGTAGAGGGCACCAAGATGACGGAGCCGGGGGGGGGCTTGGGGCCGATGACGTTCTGAACCCAGATGCTGCCGTCGCGATTGCGGAAGTGCTCCGAATAGGCCTGTAGGTATGTAGGTAGGTATGTAGGTAGGAATGTACGCGGGGAATATGTAGAGTGTGTGTGTGTGTGGTTGTGCTGAACCTGTGGCTACCTTGCATTTGCAGACAGACAGACAGACAGACAGACACTCGAGTACGCAGCCAGCACCCCCCACCACCACCCCGGTTCAGCACAAAGAAGGTATTGCGAGATGCTAAATACGTTTTCACTCTGTGGCCCCTCTGTTCCCCAAGCTGTGAAGCTGTGATCACCAACACCCCCCGCCCCGCACACAAACACCCACAGAGGCACACATCACACCTTGGCAGAGAAGTTGGATGACGTCAGCGACCTGCCCACCGTCAACCAGCCCTCCCGGATGTTGTGGTCCTCTCCGAACAGCTCCAGACGCCGCCTGGTAGGGGAGGGGGGGTGAGAGGGGGGGAGGAGGGGTTGAGAGGGTTGAGAGGGGGGGTGAGAGGGAGGTGCGGGGGGCCTCTCAGACCCAAGAGAGGAACAGCAATCGGACAGGACGGGGGAGAGGGGGGGACAACCACCACCACCACCACCACCACCACCACCACCCGTGGCGACGGAGGGAAACAGGAGGAGGTGGAAGAGGAGGTGAAGGAGGAAGGGAAGCGGGGGGCAGAAGAAATAGGCAGCAGCAGGAGAATAATAATAACAATTAATGTTGCAAAAGGTGGAAGCCGCACCAGGTCCCGCGACCCTGGCCCTTGCTGGGCACCGCCTTAAGGGGAGACCCTTTGAGGGGACAGGGTGCAGGGCTAGCAGGGGCTAGCGATCTACTCGACACCCAAGGCACGTGTGGCTGTGTGGGTGATGGAGTGGATGCTTGGGGGATCCTTTCCTTGCTGCCCTCCACCTTTTCCCCCTCCACCTTTCCCCCCTTCCACACACACACAGTACCCGGCCCCACCTGCCGTTGCAAAACCTCTCAATAATGAGGTAGAGCTCCTCAGGTTTCCGAGTGGAGCCCAGCTCCGGCTCCTCGCTCACGATGACGTCCGTGTCCACGTTGGTGTGTATGATGTGGCCGTCCGTGGCTCGCCGTACAGTGCCTTTAATGCCCATAAGGCAGTGCTCCTGAAGGCGGGAGAGACGGGAGGGGGGAAGACGAACCGCACCATGAACGAACGAACGAGGTAAAGCTGATGCCAAGGATGGACTGATGCAACGGGGGAGGGAGACAGGGGGGGAAGGGACCGCGTGTGTATGTGTGTGTGTGTGTTCGGGGGAAAAGACGAACCACGAACGAGTGAAGCTGCTGCCAGGGCAAGAGTGTACCAGACGTAGAACTGACCAAAAGGTGCTCGGCGGGAGGGGAGAGAGGAGAGAGGGGGGGTGAGGGAGAAGGGGGGAGAGTATGATGTGCAGCACAGTCTGAGGGGAAAAGGGAAAAACTTGACATCTGGATTAATGGGAAAGGGCCCTGTGTTCGTGTTTGTGTATGTAACAGTGTACTTCTATGTATATGTGTATGTATGTTTGTCTCGCGCAGCAAGACGACAGAATTTGAGAGGTTTACCCTCTCCTCCCCCACCACCCCACACACTCACCCCGCGTAAACAGATACAGATGCAGCCGAAAGCAGATAAAATCATATACACCGATAAACATACAGACGCACAGACACGTACAAGCCCCTACTTACAGACACACATACAGACACACATACATACCTTTGTGTGCACCAGCATGCTTTCCGGGTGCTGGTTGGTTGGCCTCAGGTAGGGTCTCTTCCCCGGCTCGGTGTTGGTCTTCACCCAGCAGATGTCCTCGCAACGACGGAATCCCCATTTCTGTGTCGCCATCGCCATTACCACCACCATCACCACCACCATAGATATGTGCGAGGTATATGTTAGGACAGAACACGGCATTTGACATACATACATACATACGGAAGTAAAGTGGCAGCGGAGGGAGGGGTGTGTGTTACGGACATCATTCCGAAGCCAGGTAGCGCCACCAGGAAGTCAAACGCCAGGGGTGCAATCCCTCCCCCAAAACCCTAACTCTTAAACCCAATCCCAAACACCCAGCCAGCTTTCTAAACACACACATGCACATACACAGACAAACACACACAAAAAAACACCTCCAAGGAGCAGGTGTCGCTGATTGCACCCCCCCCCAGGTTAACCCCCCCCCAACCCCTCGCCTCCCGGCGCGCACACATCGCTTCGCTAAGCCAGCCCCTCCACTCCATCCAAACTAAATACACACCTCTCTCACCCCCTCCCCTCCCCTCCCTCCCCCCCCCCATACACACCTGCATGCACACCCTCCCCGCCTCCAGCCCCTCCTCCGCCCCACACCACAGAAATAGAAAGCAGGGGCTGTCCGCTATGGCCTCGATATCCAGAGCCTGAAGGTCCTGCCATGCCCAACACTCCGGGTCGGCAACCTGGGGAATGAGGATGAGAGGATAGGGGATGGACAATTTAGGGGGGGAAGACCAACAACGAGCGAATGAAGGTGAGAGTAAAGGGGGGAGAAAGGGGGTAAGGAAGGGGTACGAGGACACACAGACGATTGACGAGACGGAAAAACCCTAGATAGGTAGATACTCCACGAAAAGGGTGGGTTTGGTTTGGGGGTTAGGGGGTAGGGAGTAGGTTGGGGACTGGTTGACACGTGTTTTAGGTTTTGGTGGGTTCGGTTGGTGGTGGACGTGGCGGCAGGTAGGGGTAGGCCCGGAGGCCCAGTACGACAGAGAGCATGTTGCTGTGGAGGAGGGTGGAGGCCACATCCACCTCTCCTTCCCTCCCCCGTCCCTCAACCTGGACTACTTGGACGTCCTATGCATGTCCGTATACATATACACACAAAAAATACCCTCCTTTTCCCTCCAACCCCCTCCCCCTCCCCTCCCCGCTCCCCTCCCCCCGCTCAGACTCCTCACCAGCCCCGGGGCCCGCCGTACATACTCCTCCCACGGGGGGTCTATGAGGATGACGTCGAACTTGGTTCCGAAGGTCTCCGTACTAAGTTTGAGCGTGCGCAGGTCCGCTCTAAGGAACATAGGCGGAGTGGCGAATGCGGCCACTTGGCGGTCCTTGCGTGTGATGAGCTCCTTCAGCTTCGGGTACTCCTCGTACCTTTGGAGCACGGGAGGGGTAGGGGTAGGGGTAGGGGGAAAGACGAACCAGTGATGTTGGGTTGGGTGAAGCGGGTAGATTCGCGGCTGGTTGCAGGAAACATGGAATTAAGAGGAGTTGGAAATACAGCTAGGATTAGTTGCAGGTAGAAGTAGTTGGTGTTAGTACAGTACAGTACATTATACCACAGTACAGTCCCCCCCGGGAGGACCGACCACCCACCCCCCACCCCCACCCCCACTCCCGCCCACCTATCCGTCAGTTGCGAGTCACGCAGGTAGTTCTGCGGCCGCAGTCCCGTGTCCACAAAGTTCTGGCTGTAGTCATTCGCGATGCTCTCCGCAGCGGCAGCAGCACCGCCAGTGCCGCCACTGGGGCCAAGACCCCCACCGCCGCCCCCAGGCCGCCCACCCTGACCCATGGGTCCCATACCGCCGCCGCCGCCGCCGCCTGCGCCCATGCCGCCGACAGGCCCCATGTGACCCATGGGTCCGCCCATCATCCCCGGTCCCAACATCCCACCGGCGCCAGCCATGCCGCCTGGCATGCCGCCACCCAACGGACCCATGGGTCCGCCCTGGCCGCCAGGCATTAAAGGGCCCAACGGACCCATGGGTCCCAAATGACCCATAGATCCTAACGGACCCATGGGTCCGGCCACGCCAGGGCCGGGCAGTCCGGAACCACCGCCTGTCGGCCCCTGCCCTGCTGGCCCCATCAGGGCCCCACCCCCCAACATGCCGCCACCTCCTCCCCCTCCCCCTCCTCCCCCGCCCCCAGGGGGTTGAGGCGGTCCAGGTAGCCCACCGCCACCTGGCGGGCCCATCATACCGCGACCGGACTGCATAAACCCTGAGAGCCCACATGTTGTCACATGTGGGGGGGCAGGGCGGGGCGGGGCGGGGCAGGGGGATCGTAGATAGGCGGGGCATATTCCCCGGACAGGGGCTATGGGGGGTTTTCTGTGTACTTACACATTACATATATACATACACATGTATAGGGGTCAAGCACATCAGGAAAGAGCGGAGAAGCCGGCCCCCTCTCCCCTACGAAAAGGAAAGCCCTGGCCCAGCTCCCGGTTGAGCCCCGAATACAGATTTCGGTTGTCCATGTTGTACTTAATGCGCCGGCATACACACACACACCCCACGGTCCCCCCTTCCCCCCCTTGAACATACACACCTTGCGCAGCCGCAGCTGCCGCTGTGCCCCCCGCTCCGAAGTCCGGCCGCATCATTCCCCCCACCCCCATCCCCATCATGGCGTTCAGAGGAGTACCCATAGGGGCTCCCATAGGGCCCGCCATGGGCCCCGCCATAGGGCCCCCCATCTGACCCAGGCCCATGCCGAAGAGTAGCTCCGGGTTCATGTCCATGGGCAACATACCACCGCCCTGAAGTTTGGTTTGGCACGGGTGGTGTCGGGGAGATATGTAATGGAATGGGGGAGATGGGGGAAATATAATGAACGAGATGCAAAAGTCAAAGAAGAACAACTGCGGCGGCTGTAGTGAGTGTGTGGAGGGGAGGAAGAGAAGCGGAAAAACGCGGCGGGGGATAGAGTCTTGCGATCCCCCGACCTATCTCTCCGCAGCGCTTATGAGCTGCGCTGTGAGCACATGATGTGTGCAGAGGGTTTCGAAAGAAACAGAGGCAAAACCTCAAAAAGGTAGGGGTGAGGTGGCAGGTTACGGAACGACTGTACGCACCGGCATCGGGGGCCTCGGTACCACGGCAGAGCCCTCAGGGAATATGGGGTTGGTCACATCAGGCCCACCTGCAGCAAGTTATTGGCATGTTTGACTGATAAGCGCGCAACATCATGCGCATCCGAGGGGACGAGAGTGCCATGCGCGGACGGCGAAAGACAGCTGACACAACTCCTGTGAACTTGTTGTATTATAGAGTATACTGATGAAAACGATGATATAGCCGCTATGACACGTGCTAAGTAACTTACTGCTGTTTTGGCGCTGTTGGTTCCCGCCTCCCCGTGCAAACATGACTGCACCCGGACGATTGCCACCCCGGCCGCCACGTCCTCTGCCCCCACGCCCTCCAGATGAAGATCCGGAACCATCTTGCATTTCTTTTCTAAATAAAGGCGATGACCTGGCCTGCCGCTTGCGCGTAGGAAATTATGAATAGCATGCAATAAGGGTCCCTAAACAAGATGCCTACATAATTATGTTTGCGTGAACTCCTTGAACCTTGCACGAAGAGGAAAACTGTTGCAAGAAGCAGATTAAACGATAACTGCAAGGAAACCGGCAGGCAACCGTCGCTTTACCAAGACTCTGCAACCCGCACGCCTCTTTTCCGTAGGTACCTTGTATGCACTAACGCAGCAAATGTGCTTCTCAATTTCCAAGTAGCTATACGTGAGTCGATTCCGTACATTAGACGGTTGCGGTGACATTGTTGCGCAACTACCGACGGAATTTCACGGAATTTCATATCTCGGAATTTCATACCGCGCTCCAACCCGCCCGCTATCCTGCGATGCACCGTGCATGTGCGATCTCCCCCGTCCCTGCAGCTTCACCTTGCAACATTTTCAGACCATTTCTTTAGCTGTCTCAACTTGCCACATGCCCGTCTTTTGAAATAGCCAAAGCAATAATTAAAAAAAGTCCTTACACCAAGCCAAATTACAAAGCTTCCCAGATTGCTGCCTCCGTCAATCCAGCTTCCGAGTTTCCGCAGCTTTTCCGACGACTTGCAGGTCCTACACCATCATTTTCCGGGCCCCCATCGCACCCCCATCATCCCCCATTATCACATCCATCCTACCACGCCACATATCACGTCGCAAACCCCATGACCACAACCCCCTACCAGCACACCACCCGCACCACCACTACTACGTAGCTGCTACGACGACCGACGTAACAAGTCAGCCCTCGTCCTCCTCCTCCGCCTCCGCCTCCTCATCATCATTATCATCCTCATCATTATCATTATCATCACCATCATCATCATCATCTTCATCTTCCTCGTCGTCATTCCACTATCCCTAAGGGCCGTCTACACCGCCAGGTGGGCCACGCGGTACGAAGCGGTGATGGGCTGCTGGGCACCCCCGTGCTCCACCCGCAGCTGCATCTCCACGTCCCGTGGGTCGGTGCTCCCCGGCTTCAACACCAGCTCCCCACTGACTTCATCATCAGCTGCCACACGAACAGTCCTTTGAAAAAGGGGTAGACGGTCAGGGTCCGGGAGGTAGCGGGAGGTTGAGGGGTCGAAAGCGGGGGATGGGGGGATACAACGACGCACAGACAGAGAAAGAAATTGGGGGGGGGGGGGGAAAAGAGAGGGGGAGGAGCCAACAAGCGAAGGGTCAGAAGTGGCGACCAGTGAGTGGCGACCTAAGCGCCAAACGAGGGGTGAGGGGGATTATAGGCAGCCTGGAGACCTGACGGGGCCAGCGGGAGGTAAGGAGAGTGGGGGGGAAGACGAACCACGAACTACAAGAGAAGGGGGGGGTAAGGAAGGGAGCTGCGGGGGAAAATGTGGGAGACAGTTTTCAGACGATAGCAGTTGCGAGTGTGGTTGGGTAAGGGGAGGGGGGAGGAGGGCAGCTGGTGGATATGGAGGTATTGGTAAGACTACGACATCACCCCACCCCGCAGCAGCAGCAGCAGCAGGGGCGAAACAAGTCACCGCGCTCTCCCAACGCTGGATGTAACCTTTTACCCCCCCACACACACACACATTTCCCCTTCCCCTAATTCCCCTCACATTTCCCCCCATTTCCACACACACAGACACACATACACGCATACAGACACACACACAGACACACCTGGGCATGTCAATCATGATTTGTTGGTAGTGGGTGGACGAGGCGAGGGGGTGCGTCGTGAAGCGCACGGGGGACTTGCCCTCGCCTGGGCCCCGGGGGTTGGGGGGTGGGGGTGGGGGGAAGAGGCGGACGGCGGGTTTGAGAGAGCTGTGAGAAATGATGATGAAAGCACCAAGAGGGCACAGGCAAGAGGCAGCGGAGGCAGCAGAGGCATCATCATCATCATCATCATCAACGCCATCATCAACCCCACCATCGCCACCGCAATACACGGCAACAACTCCTCCAGGCGTTATCCCGTGAACTGGTGTGCGCGCACGTGAGCGTGTGTGTGTGTGAGCGTGTGAGCGTGTGTGTGTGTGTGTGTGCGTGTGTGCGTGCGTACCCACACTTCTCCGTGTCCCTGTGCGGCCCCCCGACATATATACATACTCACCCTCCAGCGCGCCCCCCCACGTCCATAAGGCCTCCCAGAACAGCACCAAACCGAATAACCGCTCATCACGCAAGGAGGTGAACCTGCGGGGTGAGTGTACGGGTGTGTATGTATGTGTGTGTTGGGGGGGGGGGAGAAAGAGGAGTCAGGGGTCCGGGGGGAAAAGAGAGCGAGCCAATACAAAAAACACCCACGAGGGGGATCCAGATACACTCGTGTACGTATGTATGTATGTATGTATGTATGTATGTATGTATGTATGTATGTATGTATGTATGTATGTATGTATGTCACTAGGTGGGTAATGGCGGTTGGGGGATTGTTGATGTGACGTACGGAAAAGGAGGGGAGGTGGTGTGTATGGGAATGAGAGAGAGGTGACAGACAGACAGACAAACATACCGATATACCCACCGAAAGGGGCAACTCGCGTACACCGCCTCCTCCTGCTCCTCCTCTTCTCCCTCCTCCTCCTCCTCCTCCTCGTTCCTGTCTCTCCCCCCGCTCCTCCTCATCACGAGGACATGCTCAGGTCGCAGCTCTGTGAGGTCCCAGACCGCCAGACGCTGCGGTGCCGTCAGCAGTTGGGCCTTACGTGTGATGACGTCACGACGTGGGTGTTTGATAACCTTGGGGGGAAGGCGGGGAATTAATGGGGGGGCGGGTGGGAGAGGGGTTTTAGGGCGCGGAGGGGGGGGGAAAGGGAGCAAAGTGAAACAAAATGTCGATGTGGTGTACGGGTTGTGTTTTATTAGTCTGAACCGCGATGAGGTGAGTGACAAGCAGACATACAGAGGTACAGGTTGAGGATGTGTCCGTACACACATACAGACAAGCCAGACATTCCCCCGAAAAGCACACAACAAGCAGATATACATACATAGACTCTCCCACTCCTCCCCGACCTGCGACAGTGCTGCCGACATGTCTAGTCCCGCAACCCGGCTCCAACTCTCCTTCGCCTCCTGGGGGGTTGAGGGGGTGAGGAAGCCCCCGGCGGCGACGGAAGGGGTGAGAGAGAGGGGGGAAGAGGGTTGAGCAGGGGGCCGTACAAACCCCCCTCATGCCAATTGCGCAGGTGTGCATCAGGGGTGTGTATGTACGTATGCATGTGTACGTATGTATGTACGTCTTGGGGGGTGGGTGGGTGGGAGATGATTATGAGGTGGATGGACGAGCAAGATGATGGTGAGGGAAGAAAGCAGGCTATGACCTTTACCCCCCCCATCTCCCCCTCCCCACCTCTTCCCCCTCCCTCCCCACCTCCCCCTCCCTCCCCACCTCCCCCCCCCCGCGCACCTGCAGCGCATCACGGTCTTCAAGTCCCGCTGCCCACAGGCTCACTCGGTCGGGCAGTACGACACCCCCAGGACGTAACCATTTCCTGGGAGGGAAAGAAACAGGAGAAGGTATTGTGTTTATGTGTTGTACTGTGTGTTGTGCTGTGTGTATGCCTCAGTCCTGTCCTAAGGACTACCGTGGTAAGAAAGCCCATCAGGTCAGATCAGCTCCAGGGCCAGCAGCAGTGTACGGCCCCAGTTACCAACACCTCGATTCTCCCTCCCTCCCCCCCTCTCTCTCCCTCCCCCCCCCTCTCTCTCTCCCTCTCTCTCCCCCTCTCTCCCTCTCTCTCCCCCTCTCTCCCTCTCTCTCCCCCTCTCTCTGCCCCCCCCTCTCATACACACACATACACTTGCAGTCAGACACAGCAACCCATCCCCCCTGTTCCCCCCCTTGAAGCCAACTCCTCAACCCTCCTTTGTATAGGTACAGGTACAACCCCCCCCCCCACACACACATTCACATTCACATACATACACACATACACTGGCAACTAACGTACTTGATCGCATGCGCCAGGGTGGCCATCATACCGCCGCCCAGCAGCGCCGGACCCATCCAGTTGGACATCACCACATCGAACCCCGACGGGGACATTCCGGGAAGCTCGTCCAACTCCTCAAGAACGCCTGGAGCATGTGTACGCGAGCATACATTGGACGGGAGTTGGGGGTGGGATGGGGGACATAGGGTTTGCGGAGCGGTGTGAGTGTTTTAGGGTTTGCGGTTCACTATGATATGACCCCCGGTGGGGGGGAAGGGGGGAAAGACGAACCACACGCGATTGAAGCTGCTGCCAGGGCAAGATAGTAGCAAACGTAAAAACTGACCGAAAGGCGTCCGTGGCGACTGTGACGACTGTAACCTCGGGATGACGAAGTGACGTAGATGTTGGTACTCCTACCTACCTAAGCCGCCAGAAATAAAAAGCTGAATAGTATAGCCAATCCGTAAAGTCGTAGGTGTAAAAAATAGTAGTGAAGGCGGCGAGTAAAGTAGTGCTGGCGTAAAAGTGGCGTAAAGTTGCTGGCCAGGAGAGAAGGCTGAATTGCTGATACTGAAAGGCTGCCGGTATGCAAGTGCTCCTCCCAAGGGGGGAAGGGGGTGGCTCACATCCGTACGGCATATATGGTGGTTGAAGTACAAAACAGGTGTACGAATCAACTGCCGATGTCCCGAGAGCCCGTGTGCGTGTGCGTGCCCTCCAAAACCCCGACCAGCCAAAGCCGCACAGAAGATGGTTTTACTTTGGAATCCTATTCGGATTTGAATTTGAATTTGGACATGTGTTTGTATTTTAGTTTGGATCTTCTGTGGTCCTCTTCAGTTCGCTATCGTACGCTCAACAAAGCGCGCAACAAGCCACTGTACGGCAGATATGTGCTCGTCCATCGTATAAATGTACGTACCATGCACGACAGTGATCTTATCTGACAAACCATTGGCTTTAATAATCCGCCGAGCGGCATCCACTGCGCCTTCAGATCCGTCGACAGCGACCACGCGTGCAGCGCCTGCCTGTCGTACGTTATGCCGTACGTATGTACGGCATAACCAGGCACAGTTGGGCGAAGCGATTGTCATTTTCGTACTTCCGTACTTTTGGTTGCTTGTGGATTTTGAAAGGGTCGACTGTGTAGAGCAGTGGGGGGTGTCGATATGAAAACCGAAAACTGAAAAGTACCGAAAGTACCGTAACGAACCTGAGCCAAATGCAGAGAAAAGATATTGAAAAACTAAGAAATATTTCCCATTCTTTTCCAAAAGTACGAAGCTATTAAGGCCGTACGACGCCTGTCGTACTACCCACCTACAAACCCTACCTTGGCCGCCAGCATGGACAGCAGCCCGAGGCCGCAGCCAACATCCAGCACTGTACGACCCTCCAGCGCTCCCGGGGGGGCGGCCGCCAGCGCCTCCCGCCAGGCGGCGGTTAGAACGCGATCCTACACAGTCGGTTGGTCGTTAATAACGGCTTGTTGGTTAGTTAGTTGGCGTCAGTTGCACTGTATGAGTGTGTGCTTGTCTGGCCGTGAAAATGCGGGCATGTGTGGGCCCCTCACTCAGGGGGGGTTTGGGGTGTCGTAAGAAGCCGATACCCTCTCCACCCGGGTTGGGAACCCCCCTGACAACCCCCCAACACCCCCGTCCTTCCCCCCTCCTTTCCCCCAACACGCACATACGCATACACACACGCACTCCTACCTGCATCATGGACTGGTGCACTGCCGGATCGTCCCAACGGCGGAAGTACGCGGCGTTCAGGTCGGATGCGGCAAGACGGGAGGCGAAGGAGATATCATCATCATCATCATCCTCACCCTCCTCCTCACCCTCCTCTTCATCTTCGCCAGTTCCAGCCTGCAGGTGTAAACAATACATACATACATACATGCATACACACACATACACGTGTGTACGTATATACATACATACATACACACAGCACTCGGTTCGACGACAAAAACACATCCGGGCCCCCCGCCCTTTCACCGCTCCCCTCACCTCCTGGGCCCTGCGGTACATGAGCAGCTCCCAGCGGTCCCAGTTGAGGGTGGGGGGATCCAAGTACAGCACTGGCCGCCGTCGCTCACGTCGGCTGAACAACTGGCTACTGCTGCTGCTGCTGCTACTGCTGGTGGACGAGTCGCTGGTGCCGCGAGCCGCCAGCGGCTGTAGCAAAAGGAACGCAGACGCAAAAAATTGCGGCAAAGCACACAAGTTGTTGTTGTTGTTGCACCAAGTGCTCAAAAAGGGGGACGAGGCGGTAGAGGTTCGTTCACACGATCGTGCAGCAGCAGAACAGCAGCAGCGGCAGTAGCAGGGTCAGGACCAGACGCCCCGCGGGTGGGGGGAAACAATGAGGGGGGCCAACGCTGGCAGATATGTAAGGAAAGGAAAACACCACCACGCGCACAAGGACTCGACGAAAGTGCGGCCAACGGCAGAGCGGGATTGACGGCGGGGAGGTCAAACGTACCGACGGCAGCGCCGCAGCTGTGGATGTGCAGCCTCGACGGAGTGGCGTGGCAGTAATGGCGGCGTCGAGACCTGTCGAGATGTGCTGCGTCGGCCGGTGAGACAACCGGCCATGGCAGCTGTAATTCGTTTTAGACGCAGCGCCAGGACTCCGGCATGCCTTCGCCCTCGAGCCGCTCCTGTTTGTCAGATGGCCCGACACGCCGTGCATCTTTGCGTCAAACTTTTCCGTTTTGTTGATGTCCTAGAGTGTATCAAGGTTTAATTTTAACAAATTAACACCAATTCATTTGTTCGTTCAGGAAATATCGATTTTGCATGCCCGTCGGCTACGCATCGGCTGTGCTTGGGGTCCCTAATCAGTATGATTGAACAGTTATTGCATGTGGCATTGAGCAAAGAGTGGTTTGTAAAATCGTGCAATAGCGAGGGTGCAATCTGAATTGTTCCTTCTGATGATGTAGTAAGACCATTCCGTACGCTCTACATCCGTCAGGTGACGTTAAGGAAATGGGAGCTCTTCCCCTAGCTAAACTCCCATGGTTGGTACTCAGCCATGACAAGCTTTCCGGTCTGTGGCTACATAGAAAGGTAAAACAACCAAAATCAAAGTTTACAAGCACAATTTGCGCTGTAAGGCTTTGCAACCTAAAACGCAATAACCGCGCCGAAGCTCTCACGATTTGCCCTATGCTTGCTGTTGCTAAGGGCCTCATCTGCAGTCCCGCGGTTCGAAACTCCCGTTGCAACAGAAACGACATGTGCTAATCACAGACATGAGCAAGTAGGCGTGTCGGCCCTATCAAATAAATACATGCTAGCACTGATAGTGTATGTGGCCACGGCCGCGACTGACGAAACGAAGGGCCCTTTCCGAAGGCGTCAAATGTAAAGCAACAGCCTGTAGGTTCATGATCTTATTTTATACCTTTGAACCGCATGGAGGCTTCTATGGTACACACCTCAAGCTTGATTCAATTGTTAGCGATCAAATTCCTCTCACACCGAGAATACAAAGCTACTGAGTTACAATGTATACAGTCAACCCGAACACGTTTTTCAAGTGCATAAAGGAGGCCGTTTGGCGCTCCTAAAGAAGGATCCACCGTACCATTTTCCGTCGTACATTTGATCATTTGCCTAAATTGCCAATTCCAACCTATAATCTGCTGCACAATTGCATCAGCAAAGATGGCCACCTCGTTTGCCAACACTCAGGTCAGCGGCAAGGCTGCGACTCGCCAGGTGGCGCAGGGCCGTGTCGCCCCATTCCGGGCGACTGGTGTCCGCAAGGCCTCTGTGCCGCAGATCCCCGGCTCTCTCTTTGCTGGTGTTTCTGTGCCTCAGCGTGTGTTCGCTTCGAGCGGCGCCCGCGGTGTGTCCCGTGCGGTCCAGACTGTTTTTGCCTTGAGGGACGGCGCTGCTTTGGATGGTCGCAAGCTGCGCGTGGCCGTCATCGGCGGAGGCCCATCGGGTGCTTGCGCTGCCGAGACTCTTGCAAAGGGCGGTGTGGAGACCTACCTGATTGAGCGCAAGTTGGACAACTGCAAGGTGCGCTTCCATGCGGTTGGGCGAGATACTTTTCTCAAAGATCCATGCTTGAATCTTTCCACCAACTTCGATGTATTAATAAAAAGAAATTAATTATCTACGAAGATCTGGTAGTAGCATTCTGGGTCGATCGCAAGTGGTTCGCGGCTGCAACACGTCTATGTGCTTCCCTTCAATGTTTTTGCTGCTTACCTGCCTTGCAGCCATGCGGTGGTGCGATCCCTCTATGCATGGTGGAGGAGTTTGATCTGCCTCTGGAGATTATTGACCGTAAGGTCACCAAGATGAAGATGATCTCCCCTTCAAACCGTGAGGTTGATGTTGGCAAGACCCTCAGCGAGACCGAGTGGATTGGCATGTGCCGCCGCGAGGTTTTTGATGACTTCCTGCGCAAGCGCGCTGAGAAGCTCGGCGCCAACATTGTGAATGGCCTGTTTATGCGGTCGGAGAAGCAGGGCTCTGACGGCCCCTTCACCATCCACTACACCAGCTACGCCGATGGCAGCAAGATGGGTACCCCTTCGACTCTGGAGGTGCGGGCACGGGGATTTTTAAACATAAGGCAGTCGAGCTGGGGCCCTAAGCAGCCAGCACAGCCGGGGGAGCTGAGTGACATCAGGCCAGTGGGGGCTCGAGGGGATCTGGGTCCTAAGAGAAGAGACGCCCTTCCGGTTAAGCGCCCTGTACCGCTCTATCCCTATCAAAATTTTCCCTCGGGAAGTGCCTCCTGGAATCCCTTAAATAATCACGTGGCATGTGGAGCCATGAGACCAAACGCCTTAGCTATCGCTATGCCTGTCTATAGCTGGGTGTCACAGCCTCTCTCTGTCCGCCTAAGTTTTGAGGGGGGTATGGATATGTTTGGGATTGCGTTCATACATTTCTGCGTTTGGCGGGGGTGCATTCTCTGCGTTATCCCAGACCCAAATCAAAATGCAAATCCACAACAGCTCCATTTTTCCACGTGACAAGTTTAACGAGATTGAGGCCCGCCACGGCGCCACCACGTAACACGTGCGTTCCTGTGCGTTCCTGTGCGTTCCTCTCAACCCGACGGACCGGTATTGTGTTGCCCCATGGCAGCTGCCAATGGTTCTCGGCAACGGTGTCACTTACGTTAATCGGATTGATTTCTCTGATTATCTGTCTCATCATCAATCTCATGCGATATCACTGCTCCTGCCTTAGGTGGACATGATCATTGGCGCTGATGGTGCCAACAGCCGCGTGGCGAAGGAGATCGACGCCGGCGAGTACGACTACGCCATTGCCTTCCAGGAGCGTATCCGCATCCCCGACGACAAGATGAAGTACTACGAGAACCTCGCGGAGATGTACGTCGGCGATGACGTGTCACCGGACTTCTATGGCTGGGTAGGTAGGGTCCGGTGGAGTGGTTTCGGAGTGGTTTCTGTCCCTACAATTCCATTGGCTAAGGGTCTGTCCCTCACCCTAACAGTTCCTTTGACTGTTCGGGAACTGTTGATGATATGCCCGCCGGTGGAAGCCTCGCCCTGGCTCTTGACTAACAACCCAGTGAAGGGAACGGCAGCAGCAAAGGAAGTGAGGCCCACCATGCTAATCCCGTAAAGGCGCACTGAAGTATATGCCCTGAAGACCCAGTGGCGCCATCATTGCAGTGTTCATCATGCAAGGGCCTTGGAATAAGAGTTCATAAGTGCCTAGCGGCCACCTTCCACGGCAGTGTCAGCAGCTAGCTGACATCTGTCGACTAGTAGGCTTATGTTTTTTTTGACCGGAGGAAGGGGATGGAGACAATACTTGGACGTTTGGGGCAACTCGCACGGTTTCACGCACCTCCATGTATGGACTCTTGGCTTATATGTAAATCCTCCGGATGTACGATGTTGATGTACGGCAGGTGTTCCCCAAGTACGACCATGTGGCCGTGGGTACCGGCACCGTCGTGAACAAGACCGCCATCAAGCAGTACCAACAGGCCACCCGCGACCGCTCCAAGGTGAAGACGGAGGGCGGTAAGATCATTCGCGTGGAGGCTCACCCCATTCCGGAGCACCCCCGCCCCCGCCGCTGCAAGGGCCGTGTGGCGCTGGTCGGCGACGCGGCCGGCTACGTCACCAAGTGCTCGGGTGAGGGCATCTACTTCGCCGCCAAGTCGGGTCGCATGTGCGCCGAGGCGATTGTGGAGGCGTCGGCCAACGGCACCAAGATGGCGGGCGAGGACGCGATCCGCGTCTACCTGGACAAGTGGGATCGCAAGTACTGGGCCACGTACAAGGTTCTGGACATTCTGCAGAAAGTGTTCTACAGGTGTGTTTGTGTAGTGTTGGAATGAATGTGTGTGAGTGGGTTAATTGATTGCATGAGTCGTGATGCTTGGGATGGTCGCGGGGTGGAGTTTTATCCCAGGCCTTGCGGGAACTTGTGAACAGGGTGGAGGCGTAATTAAAAATTTCCTAATTGGCCTTTTTGTTTTACAGAACTTCCCTTCGTTTAAGCTTGCCCCTTTCCTTCCTGTTTTCTGAGCTCTCTTCCGCTGTCTTCCCGCTGATTTCCGCCCCCAGGTCCAACCCTGCCCGCGAGGCTTTCGTTGAGTTGTGCGAGGACAGCTACGTCCAGAAGATGACGTTCGATAGCTACCTGTACAAGACCGTGGTGCCAGGCAACCCCCTGGACGATGTCAAGCTGCTGGTGCGCACCGTCTCGAGCCTGCTCCGCTCCAACGCCCTGCGCTCCGTCAACAGCAAGTCGGTCGACGTCTCGTTCGGCTCCAAAGGGAATGCTGAGCGCGTTGCCACGGCATAAGTGCGTACCAGTCTAGGTTTAAGCAGCGAGTGAACGAGTGTCTGTCTGATGTTGAGTGATGAAGATGAGTTCCTGTGACGAACTGGCGCGACCGGCAACAGGGGTTCATTGCACGCGATCCAGGCTGCTGCTGGGGTTGCAGCTATTGGACTTCGCTTAAATACATGCTGGCATGGCCTTGTTGACCTTGAGTGGGTGGGAAGTTTGGGTTAATCGTGAGCATGCGCCAAGTTTTGTCATCTTGTCGTATCCGCGGCGCATACGCCCAACCAGCGAGTAGTATGCGCGCAGTTTGCGTGAGAGCTGCGTGAACTGCTGCACCATACGCATTCCGCACTGTGACATACATCGTGATGTATGTGTTTGGGCAAGTGCGTGGCGTGTCGAGGAGCAAGGGCGTCCGCCGGTCGGGTTTGTCCTCGTGACTTTTGACTTGTGATTTTAACCCTGATGGTGCTGACATGGAGTGGAGGGAGGCATCATTCGAGCACATACGGCTGTGCTCGAAGTTCCTGCGCAAGGAGGATGACTAGCATGTCGCCGTTGTAAAACGCGCGTTTTATGCGTTGTGGTAGTGCTGGTTTATTTGCTCCTGAGGCCTGCATTGAAGAACATATCGTCGCTGGCTAAAAACGTCGCGACAATTGCTCGACTTCGGAGTGGTTGCAGAAGTGGATGATTAGTCGGAAGCGGATCCTGGAAGGAGTGACGCAATGTGTGGAGAAATGAATACAGCTATGATTTCGGTTCTGATGCGAAACATAATTAAAATTTCACAAATTTTCGCAGATACCTCCATAAATCCTTCTCCCATGCCAACCATATATAAAGACACCTACAAACGAACACTATACCCAACTTCTGATACTACAAATACAGCAACCTACAAACTAACAAAACATAACGGAACAAAATGCAATTAAGCTCTGACGTCACGTGCTTTGCAGCGTGCGGCTTGCAAGTTGTTTGGCTCCCCAGTACCAGCTCGCCAGCACCTGGGGGGAAACTCCCAGCGCGTAGCCTGCCAGAATCACCTGATGACAGGCAGAGAGAGCAAAAGGGCAAGCCCACACAGAGAAACAGCGGAGGGGGAAGAGAATCTGGTTTCAGCTTACCTGGACACGGCCAATACAAACCTTCAGTATGATTTCATGAGCAGTGGCCCTGAATGCATTCTGCAACGGCAGGTACGAGGTCCCTCTACACACACACACACACAACGCGTACCCCCATGCCGGTGCGGATGCCCACTCGTGGTGGGAGATATGAGTGAGATGAGAACGGTGACGTGCACGCGGTCTGTGGCCCTACATCGGCCCACCCGAGTACAGATCACCCACCCGAGTATCCCAAACCCCCTCACCTACCAACCCTCACCCCCCTCTCCATCTGAGTGACATCGCCACAGGCCCCTCCCTGCCTCTCACATACCTAACACCAATACCACAGACCTGACCCGGCCTCAACTTACTGCGCCCCACTCGGCTCCCAACACCCTACTACTCGCTCCACACCACCCAACCCAACCCATAGGGGATTTTGGGGGGGCCCCTTCGCGTGAGGGTAAGGCTTGAATTCAAATTTGATCCTCTTAACAAACCTACCTACCTACCACCAAACAAACAAACGAACCAACCTGGTTAATAAGGGACGTCCTCAGAAAGCCCACGGACTGCCAGCGCCTGCCCGAGGTGGTGATGGCTCCATCGACAATGACAGGAGGCTGGACCTGCAGGCTCGCCCCACCAGGGAAACCGTCAGACAAACGGACAGACAAACGGACGGACAAATGGTACACAGACAGACAGACAGGCCTAGCCGGCGGATGTTTCCGCACAGACAGCTTTGGCTCGCGCTCATGACCCTCGTGGAGGCCCCCACAGCGTACACACACGCACGCACGCACATAAACCTGCCCCAACCCTTCCCCCACAGTTTCCCTCGCTCCTCCCCACACCACGGGCCAACACCCCCTTCCTACCCCTTTCCTTCCGCAAGGTCATTTTTCCCCTTTAGGCCCCACCCTCCACCCCACCCCACCCCACCCGGGACAGCCGCTGCACCAGCTCCAGATCTTCTAGAAGTGGCCACTCCTTGAAGCCACCAGCAGCCTGAGGGGTGAATTGATCGATGGCGAGAGAGGTGATATCACTTTATGTAGTGATATAAAAATACAAAACAACTTCTTCAAAGTTGTGGAGGGAGGGGTGGCGGCGGGGTAGCCTACAGGACAGACTTCTCGCGGAGAGTAAGACACCAGAGATACCAGAGATAGTCCAGGATCCTCTGATAGTCCAGGAGACGACAAGTAATGCATCAGGAATGTTTACTGACCAATAACGACTTGAATAATGGTCATGGCGGCGACGAGGCCAGCTAGGTTGCGAAAGGAGTTACTGGCTTTAAAATCCAAAGAAGGCAGGCAAAAACCGCAAAAAGACTACCTAGCCGCCGAGGTGAAAGGAAAGTGTTAAACATAGCGGAAAACTACCTAGACTAGAAAAGGGGAGAAAATGGTGGGAGATCTGGTTGGTCGAGTCGTACCTCGAGTACGTCTCGCCGTACGAACAACGCCTGGTCGCCGTATGGCCGGTGCAGCCAGCGCGTGCGCAGCTCCACACCCGAGGACAGCAGCGCCTGCTGCGCCGCATTACCCAGCTGCGTGCGCGTGTCAGGTGTGCGAGGTGTGAGGTGGCGGGCGGAGGATAGAGGGCACGTAGAGACTGCGGGATGGGGAGACGGCGATTGACAGTGCTGCTGCTGCTGCTGCTGCTGCATCATATACGCAGCGCGGCTGCTCGAGCATCACAAAGAGAAAACAAATGCGTGAACTGGCTGGCTGTGTGCATGGGGCCCCTTCCTTCCCCTTTACGCGCCTCTCGCCTCTTAAGGGCGATTTAAACCATTGATGGTTGTGAAGCCCCTCTAACCCCCCCTTAACATCCCCTCTAAGCACCGTTCCAGGGTCGCCGGTCCCACGCCATCATTTGCGCCCCCAAACCCAATTGGGACCTACATCTGCATGTATGGTGGCGAAGGCCCCCCACGAAGGATGTGGCGCCGCAGCGGCGGCGACGACGTCAGCTCCGCCGCCGCCGTCACCGCTGCCTCGCCGACCAGACGGCGCTGCCCAGCCCCCAGCGCTGCCTTCACCCTGCCAAAGCCAACTCCGCCTCGCATGCCCCGCACTACAGCCTGATGATGACGCCGCTGATGATGCGGCACCCGAAGTCCCTGAACTGAGGGTGCTCCCTGGAGCGGACGCTGGCGTTGACCTCATATCTGTGGCGGGCGCTGCGGACGTGAGCACGGCGGCGGCGCAGTTGGCGCGGCGGCGGTAGCAGCAGCTCTGAATATTGGTGTCGTCGCTAGTGTTAATGGCCCATGGGGCTTCAAGAGAAGCGCCGGGGGAAGAAGATGTGGTCTCGCGCACGGCCCACCATGTTTGGAGGCCGTGGCCGCGGCCCTGACGCTGAGCTGGACGGAGGCATGCAGCGATCCGCTCATCGTAGCGAGGCGGCAGGAGGCAATCGCCATGTAGGAAGAGGCACCAGTCGCCGCGTGCGGCTCGCCATCCAACGTTCAGCTGGTGGCCGCGGCCGCGCTCTGAACGGATAACCTGCTCGTGCGCATCCGCACGGGATCAAGTCGGTGGATGGGCTTGGAAATAGCCTGAAACGAGTATTATCTCAGAGCCGTTGGGAAGGAAAACTGGGAGGAGCGGAATGGAGGAATGTGGCTGCGCGATGGAGCGACGTGTTGAGTGGAAAGTATAATCATGGATGCTTCCTGTGCCAAGCCCAGCTGGGTGGGGATCCAGGACATGGGACATACTGGGTGGTCTGCGTTTAAGCAGCGTACCTTGGCACCGTGCTGCTTCGCCAGGTTCACCGTGTCATCCGTACTACCCCCGTCGACGACGATGACGTCTATTGGCGCAACCGTAGCGGAGTGCACGCTGTATGGGGAACGAACATATCAGCGATAACTGAAATTGAACTGAGGACCTAGAGTCAAATTGCTGAGCAGGCATCAACGCAAAGAGCTGCACGTCCTAATAAGATGCCCGAAAAGCTTTTTCTGCTCCATATAACAGTGACTTTGCTTAATTCTGGATACAGGTCCCTGCCTTACCTAGCCAGTGCAGCTGAAATGAGAGCGGATTCATTCTGTTCCAGGCAAGATATTTATTAGTCTGGGAAAAGTCTTTGTTTCCTTTGAGTTGGGATAATTGTGCTCACCAGAACAGGAATGATTACTGACAGCCGCACACTCATTTTGAAAACATCATCATGCAAGGAGCTATCCGGTGCAGGCTTGCAACTTGTCTGTCCCATCGGGTAGTCCTAATTCTTAGCTGCAAACCTGAGAGCCAGAACCGCTTCTGACATTGACTCGAACGATCGACCGTTAATACGAACCGTTATAACGAAGATTTCAGAAGTACTGGGTACGGACAGCCAACAGCCTAACGCAAAACCGGGCCTCGGAGAAAGAAAGAATTGCAAGTGAGATGATGACATAGACAGGCAATTTACAATTCCATTTTAAAACTTGAGACCCGCTGTAATGGCACGCTTGCAAATTCGGGTCGTGTGACCCGCACATCCCCATTTCGCGCGTGCGCCAATCGCAAAGACGGGCAGAGGATTTCCTTCCCTTGAGCAGAAACCACAGACATTTGAAGCTTCAAAGGAAACCCATCTATCTTGTGCCGTATTTGCTTTAGGCATACCTGCAGGCTACCATTGCAGTGCTCAAGTTCACCGCATCCCTTCTACGACCAGGGTCGGCCCAGCAACAGGACAGAAACATGCGCAAAGCTCGCTTGGAAGAATCCGGTGACAAGACCCCAGTCAGAGACGAGGAAGGAACACGCGCAAACCAAATAGTACCCATATTAACACCGAATCAATCATGACCGTGCCGTTGGCCGACCCTGGCAGTGCCCGCAATCCCCATAGCGCGTCCATCGCAAGTAGCAGCAAATCAAAACCAATCCATGCAAAACCCAGACTTACGACACGTTACCCACACGACCGATAGTAACCTTTCTTTGCTGCACCCCCAGACCCATCTGTGTTGGCCAAGACAGAACAGACTGACGCCTTCGCGTGACCCATGCATTATCTATCCACCTACCATGGGCCCCAACTCGTGTGTAATCCTCGCTGCACGCACAACCCGACCTGCACTGCAGTCAACGTGTTTTGTCGCCGCGAAAAGCAAGATCAGGAGTCGAAGCGACGCACGGATACACAAAAGCACACCTGCTTGCGCATCTTGACTTAGTCCATATCACCCGTGAATCCCGAGGGCCGTCTGTGCGCAATTTGTGCTGGATTTCCCCGAATTGAGAGGCGCGGGAAAGGGCACGAGCGTTGCGCACACCACAGACCACGATCTGGGCCCCCCGCCCGGATTGCGAAACGGCCAACCCCAGGCGCCACTGGCAATAGCATTCCAGAGTAACCCCAAACCCTAAGTAACCCCCAAATACATGACGGGATGCGAGCAGCGCATTAACATCCTCCCCCAACGACCGCCGTATAAACATAACGGCGCTGCCACGGCATGCCATTGGACCATGGCGGAGCATAGCGGCTGTTTAAAGGCACATGCGGGACCTCCTACCCATGAGCTCTCCGATGGCTTATTCGCGCACATCACAAGACCATTTCCGCTAAAAGTCCAGAATAACAGATATGGACTTGCAAACGACACGGCTCCAGTGTGCGCCCTCCAATCTGCACCCTCCACTGCGTCTTTGCGCTACACACTCCTGACGACCCCAAGTCGACAACAGCACTCGTCAGCGTCACAGGCAACGCGTCATCAGCGAAGACGCCCGAATGCCCTGCTCAGGCCCCGCTGGCTGTGGCACATTAATCGCCAATGCTACCAGTGCACCACCGCTTTGTTTCAAGCAAAAACTCCTCCGTGAAGCCGCACGAATCACACAAGCGCCGTGCCTAACTTGCCTGCGCGTTAGAATCTTACCCCGCAAGAGGAAATCCGTCCGTCTGTCTGTACGTACGTACATCCGTTCAGACAAACAACCCAAGCCTTGTTAAAAGTACTCGAGCGATGACCCCATGTGGGGCCGACCGCGTGGCGGCGTGGGTGGCCGCTCATCATTAATGGACTGCATCCATGTGTCGTTGGCCGGGTGCGGCGTGGGCGGGTCCTCGTCCAGGCCCCCGGTTGAATCTGGCGTGTGCGGCGTATTAGGCGGCAGGGGGTGGATCAGCTTGGGCACCATGACCAGGTCTCGACCGAGCACCAGGATAGCGCCCGCGTTACCAGCAGTGCCGCAGTAATTGGTGGCGGAAAAGAGCGTGATGAGGTGACCCTGCGCGAAGCGCTCAAAGCCATCCATCACGCACTCGTGTGCACGCACGATCATCTGCAAATTGTTGTTCTGCAAAAAGCATACACAAAAAGCGGGATGTTAAGACAGAGAAAGGTCTGCATGGGCTCGCAGTTTATGAAGGAACAAGCGCAACTTGACAAATTGAAATGAGAAGGTATGCAATGACCCGAAAAGAAATGCCATCAAAAAGAGCCGGGGTCGGCACATCAAACCCTACCTTACAGAACTCCTTGACCCGATCCGGACCGAAGGTGACGAGTCCGGGACCACGGGGGCTTGGCTGCACGCCCTGCACACCATCGTTAGTTGTGGGGTCGCTCCACAACAAGTCCATCAAAACAGGGCCGCCATCCTCCATGGTAATGGGCCGCTTAAGCTCTGCAATCTACAGGGCATAAAAGCACACAAAAAGGATATGCAGGTGGCATATGAGGTTTACGAAACACGCAATGACATAACGACACGAATTAGGAATATGAGAAGGTCACGAAACTGCGTGGCAGTTTTTTCCCATACCATCAAGAGGGGCATCAATACAATCCGTGCAACGTCAAGCTTTTGAAAAATCCACACAAGTGGACCCTAAAAGCCGCTCGCACCTGGTCGACCTTGTGGATGCAGCGGCCAATGCCTCCATGCATACAGAGGATCTTGTTCTCAATTATTGCCGCCAGTGGCAGGTAGTTGAAGAGCTCGTTGATGCGGCGCCAGACGAACACACCGGGCTCGTCACCCAAACGCTCGAGGCATTCGAGGCGGAAGCCAAACAGCGCGTTGATGTCGTGTGCCTGGAAGCCAAGGTGCAACGCCAAAACCCCAGGAGCCCGAATGGGTTATAGCAGCCTCATAGCTTCAGTGCATCTCTGTGTTCCCACCCCCCTACTTTCCCATGTAGGATTGGTAGAGTATGTCGAGACAAGCTATACACGGCAATTTTACATGGCGCAAAGTACTCCTACAGCAAAGTTTGGGCATTTTCCGCCACATGGGGCGCCGTTGGTCCTCACCTCGTGGTTTCCGCGTATGAGGTGCACGGACCGAGGGTGCTCGATTTTGAGTGCCAGCAGCAGACAAATGGTCTCCAAGGAATGCGAGCCGCGGTCCACGTAGTCACCCAAGAAGAGGTAGTCGATGTAGGTAATATCACCCGCCGTTGAGGGTGTGCCGTACTCCTCAAACAGCCTCATTAAATCACCGAACTGCCCGTGCAAATCGCCGAAAATCTTGATGGGGGCTGTGGATGAAGTTAAGAATTCAGACACCAAATCGCGTGTTTTAGGACGATAGGATGGCTTGTGGACGTAGCCCCGACCATGTAAGACAAGACGCACACATCTAGGGTATTTATCAAACGTGGGTCTCTTGTCGAACGTAGCTTCTTAATCCTGGTCACACGCTACGCAACGCTTACATCTGTGCATACGTGAGCATCATACATTTTGTAAGCATAAGACGTCTATTTACTGTTGACCAGTCTCAACTCTAAAGCTTGGCGAAGAAATCCAGTTTCCCTGCGCCATTATCTGTGACAAAAGCCAATGCCAAATTGCCCAGTCCAGTCGTCCACACGTACCTCCGACGTTCAATACAGTGGGTTCCTCCCGGAAAATGCTTTCCGCATTGTTGCACAGCTCTTCGATCTCGCTGGCGTTTAGCAAAAAACGACGGTCCTCAGGGGCCTTCCACGTCCGTGGCCGCAGCAGCTCATTGATGACCCGCTTGTGGACACCCTGCAGCGGCAAACCCGCAGACACAGGCGTGAATGCCACCTTGAGCATCAGGAATATACATTTTACAAGGCAGACGCCCAAGTTGCTTCTGCCTACATTAAAACTTGCTGTCCCCTGTGTTCATGCACTTAGTTCAGCTGGCAATGTGTGGAGTACACAAAGCATGCCATAGGAACGATGCCCATTTCATATAAAGAGGAATGTCCGCCCATGCCCTTTTCCGAAATGTACCTTTGCTGGTAGCGAATCATGTTGCCCCATGCTAACCTGCCATCTGCCTCAGCGCCGCCCCGTCAAGACTGTCACTGTTCACAGAATATGTCGCCAACGTTCTTAATTGAAGTGCAAACATGATTCAATATTCACATGTGAACCAGCCCCGGTCAAGTGTTCATTCACGCATGCCTAAAGGTTCGCAATTGACTAGTGTGTTGCCATTGGACATTACCATCAGCGTCATTGAGTACTATCGCCTACAAAAGATGCCATGCGGACGGATGTGCTGAACGTCCCCTCCCTGTAACCTCGACCCACCGTGACCGACATGCTGCGTGTGAACAGCGGGCTCTTCTCCTTAGCTCCCCCCGGCCCGCCATTCTCGTAGATCGACACGCGTCGCCCTTCATTGTCCAGCTGATCAATGGACAATTGCCGGACCAGGCCGCGCAAGCTGTTCTCTTGGTGCACCACAACCGCGCGATGCCACAGCTTGACGTCTGGAGTATATGGCGTTGTACCAGGCACGTGGTCTTTTCCAAGCGAAACATCTGGACTTGAAGAGCGGTTCGTCGATGGCGAGTCCGACGTGCGCGATCCGCCAGCGCCGTTCCCGGAACCGTCCAGCTGCTCGTCCACACAGCGCAGGTCCTCCATTGCTGACACCCGGCGAACATTCAAGGCCGCGGCGGCGGCAGCTTCCTCTGCAGCTGCCTTTTCCAGCATGCGACTCGCGGCTGCATTTCCATGCATGGACTCCATGTACTGCTGCCACGCAGACGACCGCGGGTCGAAGATTGATAGCTCTGTTCCGTTCGAATCATCTGCCACTAATAAGTCGTCCAGCAGTTGGGACCCCTACAGGCAAACACGCACAGGACTGAAGACTCAGATATGGGAAAATTACCCCAATGCGCAATTCCAGTTTTAGGCCACGTGCGATACCCCATATACCATAATTCTTGGATTCGAACCCCGAATGCATCAAGGCCAAACACATGAAACCAATGGAGCGCAGAACTTGAGGAACAGTACAGACGACTTGCAGAGAAATTTCACCACGCTCGCACCGAGGACCGCATGATAGTACATCGAAACATCGAAAGCAAAATGAACCATTGTGTGCACGAACAACATGAATTCAAATCCTGCAAGCGCACATACGAGACAGCACCCCTCCTACATGCCCTTTCCACATACATACCACCTTGCCTTAAGCCCTCCATAAATGAAGACAAAAGGTCCGACGGAAGCAACCGCATGGCGGCACCGGCGTGTAAAGTCTTCGCCGCTGGCAACGCTCGTTGGCGTCACCCAGCAGCCGTGCGTCGTGTCCAAGACCACCGTGGATGTTCCCTCATCCACCTAGCGCACAGGTAACCGATGCAGGACAGAACCAGCGTAGTCGTCCTGAAATGCGCCGGACGGTCTTCCGGACCCAAATGTAAGAAACATGTGAGTGGACTGGAAAGAAGACTGTACCAACCGTGAGTCTGTGGTGAATATCAACGACATCTTTTTAACCGAATCAGCGTGCCATGCACTTCTCTTGAGGGTCAGGTCCGGGCAGCACCAGAGCTGCGCACGGCAACCCATCCCCTCTTTACCGACTGACTGCGCGTTCCAAACTTACCATCCTGCCGCCTCCGACAGCCCCGCCCGAAATATGCAGACGATTGCCCACGAACACGGCCCCGTGTTGGTATCGGCCAGTTGGCATTGCGCCAGGGGCAGAGTGCCATTCCCAACGTCCATCCCGGTGCCGGGCGAAGCCGTAGGCATCTCCCAGCGGGGTGCCGCCAACGTCACGGCCGCCACAGAGGAGCAGAAGGCCATCGCTCCGGGCAGCAGCCGTCGCATACATCCTGCATGTTATTCCGGCCGGCTGTTTGGACACATAGGTTACAGCAGGGGACAGCGACCGCGACCCTTACCTAGGCGACGGCATCTCGCCCGCGTCCGTTATTTTTCTCCAAGCGTAAGGTTTCTCGGAAGTATCAAGCGCCCATGCATCGCCTAGCGTCGACTTGCCATCATTCCCGCCCATAGCCACAAGAAAGCGATTCGCGACCAGGCTAAGTGTATGGGCGTAGCGAGCGCTGGGGCCTGGTCCAGACACCAGCACTCTGTATGGATAAAGAAAACGTCAATGTTAGTACCTATCAACAAAAGTAAGGACACAGTGCAGCGTACCTGTGCCATCGTGGCCTATCAGGGTCCGTGAAGTCCAGCACATGCAGGTCTTCCGATGCCAGCCCAGCTGGACCGATACCGCCCTGGAGAGAGGATGAGAAAAGTCAAAAGGATCCTGTAAGAATCAAAAAGGCTTCTAACGATTCCGACGGCCCAGCTCCCGACCTGAATGACCACCATATTTCCCACAGCCGCTGCCGCGTGTGCAGCTCGTGGCGATGGTGGCTCTCCTGCAGGAGTTGTCTTCTCCCATTTTCCCGTGCGCACATCAAAGATATGAACGTCGTTAGTGGCGCCAGCCAAACGAATGCCTGCAAACAAAGCGCGCCCTTTTAAAGCTCCGTCTCGTTTGCAATGCCCATGTTCTCCAATGGCAGTCGTAATGCACTTAACGAACCTGAGGCTGCTGAACCAGGCGTCGACTGCGCGCCCTCGCTCTTGCCGGAGGAACCCTCAAGCGCAGTGGCACCACCTGGAGGCGGGATTATCGCGGCCCATCCAACATTTACAGGGCAAACGCCTTAGGTCAGATACCAACATGTACCTTTTCTCACCAAATAGCACAAGCTTGGCCTTGGAAAGGTCTCCCTCCGGCCCCGAAATGGCGGTGAGTGTGTGTCCGCACCGGGGGCCTGGCGCGGTTCCCACGACCGGGAAGACGCGGGGCCGAGGGACGGGGCTGGGCCTCAGATCGCTATCCATGTCCACCATTCAGAGCCCGCAAATCAGGCCTCAGCAGTTCGCCCCGGCTGCATCTGAGAGATGATCCTTATCCAATATAAACGTCCGCTACCACTCTCGTAATTTACAGACTTTATTTCCTTATAACCACAAAGACATAAAGGGGTGCCTAGGGGCACCAAAAACGCCCCGGATACGTTCCCGAAAATGCTCGCTTTTGGTTATCAGCTTTCTTAAAGGCAGCAAGGATAAATAACCCTTACATACAGTCTTGCATATACAGTACACATACCATGTTGAACCACTGAACCAAAAGAACAAAAAGACAGTTACGAGGGTACGACGCACCAGTTTGTTTGTTTGTGACATGGTTTGTAGCCATGCGAGGGGTCCTTGTGAACTAATTCCTAAGCCGTTCTGTTCAACCGCTTTCAAAGGCATTTGCAATCCACCGCGAGACGTTTCAAGCAGCTCTGGCATTTCATGCTTAAGTCTTTCTTTCTCAATGGGGGGCAAGGCGGATTGCTATAATTCCTTTCTCGTGTTTTATCCATGTATGGGCCCACGTTAGGGGAATGAACCGGCGCGACAGCCAATCTTGCTCTACGGCTGCGGGCCTTTTTATGCACATAGACCTTCCTGGGGATGGAACGATCTCTTTGTACATTTTCCTGCTCAGCATTTGGCTTTGCGATAAACCATCACGACTCATGGGACGGTCGCGCACAAGACACGATACCGCAGTACTGTATCCGTAGGCTTCAATGTAGTACAGGCAGAGTGTCCTTTGGCAGGATGCATGCCTACAGGCATTCTGCGCGATTCGGACCTCGGCAACAGTGCTAGTATTGGTATCCTTGACAGACCTGCCCATACAAGCAAGAGCTCCAGGCCTTCCCAGCTCCCCTAACGAGAAACTGTGCACGATGTATCACGGGCGTAACATAGACCACTGAGACAACAATCGAACTAAGATTCAATACAACCAAGCCAACCGAAGTGAAATTTCTCGCTATTGTCGTACCAAATGCACATAACCCCGGTCAGGCTGACTACACGTATACAACACGAACCAATGTGTATTGCTATCAACCAGAGACCTCCCGAGCACTTAAGACACCTTTGAATATGGAACACGAAAAGGGAGTATGCGCGCTGCGAAGTTTGCTGCGTGACAGATAGACGTCCAGACGTGACGGCATCGTGAGCGATCCTGTTGACAGGAAAGTGTTCCACTTATCAATATGTTTTATGTGGCAGCAACACGTGTTGTGTGCTCCCCTGTTCCTTCACGATAGTACCGGATCAAGTACTCACGTCATGGAAATGGCGAGATGGCAGTGAAAATAACCCCTTGCGCTTTGTTTTTGTATGCAAGTAACCTGCACCGACATTATCAAGCCCTGTAGACCTTTTCGGGCAAACCAACCTGATATAAGGACTCGTCAGTACAACTTTTTTTCTTCACTTAGGAAGAGCAAGGCACGATGACCAAAAAAAACTTCAGCTTCGGCGCAGCCGGAAACTGAACTTGTGTTGTTCACCAACATGGCCGTGGATATGTAAAACGAGACATGTAGACAGCGAGAGTTTGAGGGTGCGCGTTCGTTACAAGGTCAATAGTCATTTAGGCCCAAATTCACACTGCCATGCCAACCATGGAATGCCCCGAGCCTGCAACATAATAAAAAATAGCAATAAAACCTCCATCCATTCAACAGACGAACTTTCGTCACATAAAACTCATATTACACTTTGCAATATTGTCAATACGCTAGACGGGCCCAATTGAACCAACCCAACGGGAAGGTGATATGCATCTTCCGGTCTGGCAAAAAGGTCACTCATGAAGAACGGATGGCTGCAGCCATGACGTACATGCCATGATACAAAGCCCAGATGGCATGGTCCTGATCAATGGTCTAAATCAATTCTGTTCTACAGACCCATGGTAGGACCCCGCACGCAGTATCGCGCAACGCAATTTTGTCCTGAAATTACCTACAGATAGCATACAAGTAACAATTCACACAAACCATCACCCACAACATTTATGTCATACGCGCAAATGTTATGCACGTTGCTTTGTACAGGATATGTACGAGTTGAATCATTTGAATCATTGATAGCCCACGCCCTGTCTCTTCTAAGGGAAAACGAAACTAGACAGGGCAGGAAAAACAAACAGCCCGGCATTCCCACAAGCTGAGCAATGTGCGTAGAAGACGTCAAGAGACACGCACCCACGCACCCTATCACACGCGAAATGAGCCTTCACAATCCTGCGGTGGTAAGTGCCCTACCAGAACACCAACCGAGCTAATCCCGCATGACGAGCACTGTATGCTTCCGTTGTAGTATTTATAGCCAAGAAGACATCAATAGACGATTGTGGCCGGGCAGCATTTCCTTGTAGACGGCGGGTATGCCGGGTACGAAAAGATGCTGACCTGCAGTGAGCAGCAGCACAGTGGAGGAACAGGGCCAAAATGTCTTGGGCTCAGGGTCACACTTCATTCGCGCTGTAGCAGGCCCATCTTATAATCTTTATATTGCCTCTGAATTATGTGAACTATGCTCAAGAGTCAAGGCGGTCAAGAAACGAGTAAACCCTGAGAAAAACTGTCTTACCTGGCAAAAGCCATTGAAGCAGAAGTTCCTGGGGTTGGCACAATCACCGTTCTTGACCACCCAACAGAAGGTGGCTCCATCGGGGTTGACGTTCCTGAACAGCCGATTCGAGGTAACATGAAGAGTTACAGATGTGAAGTGCTGTGGAGGCTGGCCAGGCCAGAAAACAAGGTTGATTATCATCCGGACAGATGCGAGGGTGAGGGGTTTGGGAGCGGAGCACGACATTGCTTGGCACATGCATATGCCAGCTCTAAAGCAAGATTACACAGTAATCACAGGCCAGAGCATGGCTACCATACCCATCGTTGTTGTGCACAATGACTCACATTAAGTTGACGAACTTCATAGCGGTGAGTGTCGCGTTCGTGTTGAGGTCGGTGTACGAACCTGTACGTGCACACGAGTACTAGAGTCAAATCGAGTTGGGCAAGCATGTTACCTTCAGTCGCATTTATATCAGCAACACCTATTTAGTGAAAATTGCCAAAGTAGCTGTGGAATGTTGTTCAGCTCACCCCAAGACACTGAAACCGTGTTGTTGTTGATGTAGATGCGTCGAAGATCTCCTCGGCAGTTTTGGGCGACAGGAACCTCAATCTGCGATGGCAAAAATTTGCATTTATGTTCTGAAATCATGATTATGATAAAACTGGTTATGAAAAAAGCCTGCTCAAAGAAGTGCTTACGCACATCCTCACCTTTGCAAATTCCATAGGACAGCAATATCCTGCCCTGCAGCTCCTGACAGATACCTTGACGCACATCGTCGTGGCGGGAACACCAGCTTCCATGCTCGAGAAGTTGTACAATGGACTCACGGAATACGGCACGTTGTACGCCTGCTCGCAATCGTGTGTTCGCACGAACTGAGGCGGCGGCGGCACGGCCGGCGATGGCTGAACCACAGGCGGAGACGGCGGCGGCATCGGCGGAGACGGATCGGGGTTTGACTGGCAGCTCTGTTCTATTTGGCCGGCAAGACAGGTGCCTTCGCCGAGGGGGTCGAAAATTGCGGCGTAAAGAGTGTAATTCTTGAACGGGCCATTCGTGTCCAGGCAGACGCCGTTGGTGGTGAAATCAACCCAGGGCAGGATGCCTGACGAGTCGACATCAAGCCAAACCGCCATCCTGGCACCTTCATCGTAACTGGCAAATGTACCGCACACCTCGACGTACGGCACAATAGGCGGTTCTACAGTGTTGTCGTACTCTGTGACGCAAGTAGACAGACTGAATGGCTTCGAGATGCTGACGTTGAGCGCTGCCGCATTGTACGAGATGTCTTGAACGATATACGACGCGACATCGTCGCAGGACCGGGCCCCGGAGCCAAAGGTATAGAGCGGCCTGCTACCAAGGACTTTAGGTGGTTCGATGAAGACGTAGGCGCAGAGGCTGCATGGCGGCGCCGGAGGGTTCGGAGATGGAGGTGCGGGGGACGGAGGGAGAGGAGCGGGCGGGGTGGGTGTGGGTGGCCGGGGCGAAGGAGGGGATGGCCGAGGTGAAGGTGGCTGCGGGCGAGGTGAAGGGAATGGCCTGGGCGAAGGTGGCAACCGCGGCGGCGGCCTTGGAGATGGAGGCGAACGCGGTGGCATAGGGGAAGGACGTGGCGATGGAGGGCTTGGCGGGGGTTTGGACGGAGGCTCCGGAGACGGAGGTGGCGGCGACGGGGGCTCCGGAGACGGAGGTGGCGGAGACGGAGGCAGTGGCGAAGGCGGCGGCGGAGAAGGCGGGAACGGGGAAGGAGGGGGTGGAGAAGGAGGCAATGGCGATGGTGGCGGTGGGGAAGGCGGCGTGAATGGCGGGTTAGGCGGCGGCGGGTTAGGTGGCGGCGGCGGCGGTGGCGGCGGCGGCGGCGGGGGTGGGGGTGAAATGGGCGGTGGAGAGGGTAATGGTGAGGGCGGTGGTGGCGCTGGAGGGAGAGGTGACGGTGGAGGCGGTGAAGGTGGCAACGGAGACGGTGGTGGTGGACTGGGAGGAAGTGGTGACGGCGGCGGTGGGGGGGCGGGTGACGGTGGCTCAGGAGATGGCGGAGCTGGCGAGGGAGGTTGAGGTGACGGTGGTGGGGGTGATGGGGGCGACGGAGAAGGGGGAGGTGGAGAGGGCGGCAGTGGCGACGGCGGGGGAGGTGAAGGGGGATGGGGCGAAGGGGGTGGAGGTGATGGCGGCTCGGGTGACGGTGGCTCAGGCGACGGTGGCACGGGCGACGGGGGGGATGGCGACGGCGGCACGGGCGACGGAGGTGATGGCGACGGCGGCACGGGCGACGGTGGGGGTGGCGACGGTGGCAGGGGTGACGGCGGAGATGGCGACGGTGGCAGGGGTGACGGCGGGGATGGCGACGGCGGCTCGGGCGACGGCGGAGATGGCGACGGTGGCAGGGGTGACGGCGGGGATGGCGACGGTGGCAGGGG